CAGCCTTCCTCAATTCTATGTATTAAGATCCTACCAAATCTTCATCCATTTAGTTCACAGAAAAACAAAAGTCGAGCAAGACAGGGCAACTCTCCCAAAGCAGTAACTGCAAATGTGTTAATTTAAATATGCCATTACCATACCCCAACACGTAATCCTTATGCCCAGATACTGTAAATGTGGCGGGTAAGTGATTAGTTACTCAAGTTCCAAAACTAATCCCAGCTGGCTGACCTTTTAAAAACCTTTTAAGTTAGAAAAAAAGTCTTTTTTTTCTCCCTTGTAAAACTTTCCCCTAGAGCTCTCCTAACCCTTCCAGCAAAAACGGCTCAAGAAGAGGTAAATCACTGGTGTTAAATGGAAGAATGCTTTCTTCCCCTTGATGCTGAAATCAAAGTGCAGCACATGGATCGGCCTCCCCCTTCATCCCCACTTCTCCACAGCCAAGTGCTGCTCTGCCATCATGCAGTGACCCCGTCCAGCAAGAACTGAGGGGTTGTTGTAGGGATTTCAGCCTCCCTCAGAACATGACTGTGATGAATAAAAATTAAAAAGTTTCCCCTGTATAATTCTTTTTAAAACTAAGTAACTACATGCAAACAAATGCTTGCTGAGAACTGCTTACAGCTGCAGCTAGGCATCCACAATCTACAAAATGCTAAGACTGAGGTTGCCTAAACCAATCGTAACGTGGCTCTGCGCTCACTGAGATGACCTCAATGGAGTCTGCATTTCCAAATACTCTCCTTTCTATCTTCTGCCCATTTTTTCCAGCCCTTACACGCAGCCTGTGCTCCATGCATGACTGTATTTCCCTGACGCATCCAGAAAGGCAGTGCTGTGATACTGTGCGATCGCCCCAGGCAGTACAGCACTGCATGCCGAGCACTCATTGCATTCTGCTCACCTGGGAGCTTCATCTTGCTGCACGTAATGGTGAAGCAGAAGAGATGTGGCCACACGGAAACAGACGTTCAGCAGAACCAGCTCTTAAAATTCAGATTAAGATTGTTAAGATTGGAGAAGACCTCTCAGATCATCCAGTCCAGCCGCCCACCTACCACCAATGCTGTACATGAACCCACGTCCCTCAGTGCCACACCTACCCTTAATGGCCTTTCATTTTGAAGCCTCCTGCTCCAGTGCTCACCAGCAGTACGAGTGCCTCGTGTTTGTGATCATCCCACAGCCTGCATTTTCAAACAACGCTGGCTTAGAACAACATTAACCTGAAATGGATTATTAGTGGGTTGACTGCTCCTTGGGGTCTAATGATAAGCATTCATTAATTCTCAGGGCAGGAGAGCTAATTACTTTTTTTTTTTTTTTTTTTTTTAAAAAGAGCTTGCTAATTGCCAATAACATTTTTATTGAATTGGTCTCATAAAGCCATTTTTTTTTAAATTTCTTTTCCATACTGTAGCAGATAAACTACGCCATCCAAACAAACTGCAGGCTGAGCTTCTTCTCTGTGCAGAGGGGAAGCCATCCTCTGCACTGAGGACCAGAGACTTGTAGGAAGGTAAAAGCAGTGGCATGCACAGTAACCCAGGGGCTCAGTGGGCCTGCTTCTGTAGCTGGAGGAAGAACTAACACACCCAACACGTGCATCACGGTGAATCCTGGGAGGAAGAAAATTCCAGGCGACTTTTACTGGCTTTTAATTACAAATAACTATCAGCCTGAAGACACCGAATAATCAACAAAAGGATTAACAGGTTCTTTGGATATGTAATAAACTACAAATACAATGATGAAAGTAAATCCCACATAAGCACAACAAGCCCATGGGAACAAACCGCTCTCACAAAGCCTCAGGCCATGCCATGGATTTAAGCTGGCCGTGAACGTCACTGTATGTGCACCACACGCTTTTTGCAGTATTGCAGTCCCTACAGCACGTTGAAATGCTTCCCACTTAAAACCATTTTGACTGAAAAAATAGAGGGATACATTTTCGCTTTTTTCTCCCGCTCCAGAATTTCTCCTACAGGGCAACAATCATTTCTTGTACCGTGTTTTCTGTTTCTCTCATGCAGACAGAGCACACGAAGCATGGCTTCCTACCCTGCCAGACAGCCTATTGGGAACAATTTCTCCTCAGAAAGAGCAGCGAGGCAGTGGCACAGGCTGCCCAGGGAGGTGGTGGAGTCACCGTCCCTGGAGGTGTTTGAGAACCGTGTGGATGTGGCACTGAGGACACAGGCAGTGGCCATGGTGTGATGGGCTGCTGTTGAACTAGATGGTCGTAGTCTTTTTCCAATCTTACTGATTCCATGATTCTATGATAAACCCAGATCAGGAGTGTTGTTAGTAAATCAATTTGCTCGTCATCACTGACTTTTTATCCAGGCAGATGGTGATAGGACAAGGCTAAATGTCTTTAAACTAAAAGAGGGGAGACTTAGGTCAGATGTTGGGCAGAATTTTTTTCCCCAGAGGTGGTGAGGCGCTGGCACAGCTGTCCAGAGAAGCTGTGGTGCCCCATCCCTGGTGCTCAAGGCCAGGTTGGATGGGGCCCTGGGCAGCCTGATCAGGCCCAGGTCCTGTGACACGGGGTTCCTTCACAGTGATGCTCATCGATACAAACCTTTTCAGCTCACACTGGTAACTTTCTCTGCTACTGCTTCATCCCTGCCAGTGCCGTGTTGTGCTCTCAGGGGAGAAGCAATTTGGCTCTAGCACCTGGCTCTGTGTGTGTGTGTATTTTCAGAGGAATGTGCGATCCTCACTGACACCAGGATTGGTAGTGATGCTGGGACCTGCTCCTGGTTGTTATTCCTGGGGGACACCTACCTGGAGGTTAACAGGGGAGAAAAACATGGGTAGCTCATGGGTGAGATCTTCCCAGTGTGGACATGCAGTAAGAGGCGTTGCTCTAGCATCCAATGGCCCAAGCAATTGCTCAAGCCACTAGTGTTTTTTCATCTGAGGGCATGGACTGCAGGTGCAAGTGCTAAGCCTGAATCCACAGGGCTCATAAGTGACTTCAGTGCCAATTGACAGGGCTTAGTGTTTGTGTGAGAAAACAAATGCAAGGCAAATAAATCAAGCAACAACAAGCAAGGGCTAATGAGAGAGCAGAACAAAAGCTCGGTCTCCACTCTACCCCATGCAGTCAATGTTTTGAGTTAGATTTGAATCTCAAGGACAGCTTGATTGCTGGGAAAGATGGGGAGAGAGAAGGGAGATGGAAAAATTGCTTTTGTGAGCTTCATTTGATCGAAGGGAGTTATTTGGTTTGTAGGAGAAAAGGAATAGAAATGCTTCTATGAGATAAGCAGGATTTGGTGTGCAACAGCTCTCAGCCCGAGCTGCTCAGATCTTGAAAGTTCAGCTCCTCTTCAGCTCTGGGTGAGCCCACAGCCTTCACATCAGGCACGTCAGTGCGTCCGTTTGAGGCAGGGAAGCGCATTTCCGCAGGATACGTACCATGACATTCTGTGCCTCCTATACCTGCATGGTGGTGAGGGAACAGCTCAGGCACAAAGCACTGGAAGTCAGGGCATCCCCAGCCACCAGAGGCTCCTGCAACAGAGCACGCTGCAGGCTCCCCAACACGCAGTGCTCCTCTCACACAGATGTACTCAGCCTTTGCGCATGACAAAGAGATAAAGGCTCTTCCACGAATGCAGCAGAGATGGCTGTGATCCCCCCCTCCCCGCCGTCCCTTTTCCCCCACCCACACGCTCACCAAAATCAAAGAGAAACGTGGTGCAAAGGACGGGATAATTAAACGCTGCAGATTGTATCAGTCACAAGAAGAGAATTTGCAAAGCAGAGGGAATGTATTTGTCACATGGCGAAACCAGCTGTGGAAGGCTTTTCTCGGAGCTTTGAAACAATTCCAGCTCTTCTTTTTTTTTTTTTCCCAGGGTAATAACATTTTTCTGTCAAAAACAAGTTGGTTGTTAAAATATGCATAAAGGCATGTCACTCCAAGCTGTGCACTCGTGTTTCATTTTCACTTCCCCCCTCAAAAGAGTTTTGTTATGACTAAAGAACAAAAAGGAAGCAGCGAGAAATCTGTAATGGTTCCATTTATTAATACATATATCACAAATACTCACAATATCAATGCATTCTCGTTGGCATGCTAGACAGAGGCATTATTAAAAAAGTCCTATTGTTTTTTTAAAAAGGTTTTAAATTTTTGCTTTCCCCCAGAAATATTCCATATGCCTGTTGGTGGTGGTGTCTGTGAGTTTTTTGTTGTTTCTATTTTGATTTGATTCAACGATGTACTTGGTGGCTGCAACCTCAATGCAAAAAGAAGAAAAAGAAAGAAGAGGAAAAAAGTCCGAAGGCCGCGGTACAGCACGGTTCAATTAGTTCATAGCTATCTAATAAAAATAAAGGGAGCAAAATTACTGCCTTCACAGTAAGCGACAACACAGCTTCATAACAGTATTACACAGGATCAGGTTCAGAGGCAAAATGCACTAGACGAAGCCTACTGGGATACGCACTGGGCATACAACACTGAGTAAGAATCAAAGATGTCGAAGAACACCAGGAGGAACGGTTCCCTTCAAGCACAACATTTTCACATCGTTTTCAAGTATCTTTATGTTATGTTACCGACTCCTTTGTCTGTGGGGAACGGGAGCGGGGAAAGGGTGAAAACCTTAGTAAAGCATAAACAAACCGAGAAATTAAGATAAACCCAAAAGAATACATAGTTCATATACCGGTTTATATGAATGTGTGCAACACTTATTAACCATGGCGAAAGGCTAATCGTGCCCTCCGGTCACTACATGCACAGCCTGATCGATGCTGTTAATGAATTACCTGTGTTAACTTACAATGCAACTACAGCGTGACCAAGAGCGCGCCGTCCTGGCCCGGGGGTCGGCTCTGGGCGCACGCGGTGCTTCACAGGATGGTTCACTACGCATGGGACAGGTCGGGAGGGTGGGGGGCGAGTGCGCGCGCACGTGCTTGCTTGTGGGGGTGTGCGTGCGTGCGTGCGAGAGACAGTGTGTGCTATAACATTCGTGTCAGTCTTCCTTGAACGCTGCAGTTCCTGGTCTCGGGACAGGCGCTGGGCTTCACGCTTCTGAAAGACTGGACGAAGGGACAAAAGACAAGAGGTGGGTCGGTTTGGGTGCCGGCAGCAGCTGTTGTGCACTCTCTGTTCAAGAAGGAAGCTGAAGCGGCAAGACAGTCAATCGTACATCCTCCCTCCCCCCTCCTTCTCTGCCCCCTTTTCTTTTTCAACCAGACAGAACGCTGGAATGAAAAACACAAAGCAAGAAATCACATGGGAAGACTAAAATCTTGATTGTTATGTCACTTGTCCACTACCTTTAATAAAAGAAGGAAAGGCTCACCTTGTTACACCATCTCGTACTGGTTAGCAGTAATAAACCGGGACAGGCAGCACGCCAGCAGCATCCCAATCAACTGTTTCAAACAAGAACGGAACAAGTTAGGTTGAGTGAATGCAGAGCAAAGGAGAGGCTGTGGTAAGCAGAGACTTCACCGTCTGGTGCTATCGCCCACAACAGAACTTATCCCCTGTCCTCTGATCGGAGAAATAGCATTAAAATTTCTTGTCCTTCCTCATGGGATCTTCCTCTTGATCAGGGCTCTTTTCAGTGGTGAGTGGAGACAGGACAAGGGGAAACGGCTGGAAACTGCAGCATAGGAAGTTCTGCACCAATGTGCGCAAGAACTTCTTTGCAGTGAGGTGACGGAGCACTGGAACAGGCTGCCCAGGGAGGTGGTGGAGTCTCCTTCTCTGGAGATGTCCAAGACCTGCCTGGATGCCTACCTGTGCGACCTGCTGTAGGGAACCTGCTTTGGCAGGGGGGTTGGACTCCATGATCTCTGGAGGTCCCTTCCAACCCCTACGATTCTGTGATTCTGTGATTATCAGAGCCTCTTTGTTTGATAGCACATATTTTGCTACTTTTCCATCCCGCTGCCACTGCCAGCCCAGCACAGGCAGGATACCTGATGGGCTGCTGCCTGGCTGCATTTCACTCATCCACTCCACTCAGTTTCTGACCCCCCCGGGCATTTATGCTTTCTTTACAAATGATGCAGCACTCGATAAATGAACACTATAAATCTGGAAATTAAGGGAAAAAAAAAACAAGAAGCCTTTCATTATTCCCCTGGATATAACTCAGATTATTGAAAACAGATCCCTCGTCTCCACCCTTCAATAAACTCTCAGTCATTTTAACGTTTTGCCTATTGCAATTTGTTAGCGTTTCTTCCATATGCTAACAGCGTTAATGCGCTATACATAATTCAGCCTCATTTTTCTCATTTGGACTGGTCAATTAATTAACTCATGAGCATATCCAGATTGTCACAGTTCATCACCAGCCACGGGGCGAGGCGAGGGGGCTGCCTCTGTGGGAGTATCAGCCTCTCCTTGACCTTGCTCCAACCAGCTGCAGTGGCTCTTGCTAACGCTTGGGGCGTCCCAGCTGCTCCAGCTCCCAGCTAGCTTTTTTGGGACTGGCTTGTGCTCAAGAAGGCAGACTCTGCTGCAGGAGTCTTGCACAGCTCAGTGACTCAACACATGTCGCAGCTGAGCTGGCATAAGCCCAGAGTGAGGCCAAGCTGTGGTACCACCCATCCAGATAAACTGCTTTATGTCCCTAAGACCTCATATCTCTGGTCAAGCCAAACTTCACCAGCTGGAAATTTGCTGCTATCACTCTCTCTCCTATTTCAGAGACTGCCTGATTTCCAGCCAGCACAACCGCCTCAGGAGCAGCATGGCACAAGTGGTGGGTGTCAGATCACGTCCCGCCATGACTATGCTAGGCACCTCCAAAGGGCATGGAGTCATCAGCCTGAATCTCTACCAGCTCCATCCAACACACAAACACCAATTTCGGCACCAAGTAACAAGGATGATATGGTTTTGGTTATAACTGGTCTTGGGTCACAGGTTCCTGAACAGCCTCCAATGCAAATCTCAGCTACTAGGTTTTGGGGGCTACATTTTCACAGATGCTGAGAGAGATGTGGGTCCAAAAACCCTCCACAGCTTTGAAAATCTCACTGGATAGCAAGAAGACATTTTAGCCACGTTGTTGCCTTTTCTGCTTCATGTCTTTAGACAGATGGTCCTGCAGAAAACTTGGTAGCTAGAGTGTGCTCAAGGCTTGCCTGTGACCAGTGACGCCAACAATTTGTTGTTGTTGCACACAGTGTGACACAGAGTGTCCCTTTTGGTGACGGACCTTGGTGTCATTTACACTCAAAAGATTTGGGGAAGGCCAGAGAAGGTCTGGCTGTCCTCCAAAGGACAGCAGTATGATAGGCACTGACAGAAAATTCAGCTGGAAACCAGTAATACCAAGCTGCTGGTAGATCCTACATCTACTCTTCGCAACATTATCCAGCAACTGACCCAGAGGTGGTTTTGTTGTACTCGATCCCATGTTTGCAGTCTGAAAAGCTTGCTGCAGAAGACCTCCCCCAGCTAACCTCAATCACTGATTCTTCTCTTTCATGCAGGCTGCAACTCTCTAGTATGTAGCTGGCAAAGATTCACAGCACTTGCAAGCTCATGATCATGTTTTGGTGTAAGCAAGTGACTTGTAAGATGACAGGTTACGCATGAACGCACAAATGTCTTTCTGATCTCTGGTCTGCTCTTTAACTCTTGGCCCTGATTATTTATGCTGGTTTATGCACTGAAGTGGTTACAGTACCATAATATTCAACTTCTGTATTTCAAAACAATAGTGTGTATATGAAGCTATTGCATACACTGATTTCATAAGGCACTCTGAGCTATCACTAGGACACAGCAGAGCTGTAAGAAATATCTTAGAATTACTTTGAACACATAAAAGTGTGTATTTTACAAGGTGTGTCTTCTTTCTCACTTTTTCCTCCCCTCTCTTCTAAGATTAGCTTTGACTCCTGAAATACTAAATGAAAACCAGAGGGTTCACTCTGATACCTCTGGTCTTGCCATAGGAAACTTGAAAACGTGGACAAATTCTTTGGGGTAGAGCAATGGAAAACCAACACCCCTCAGGCATATCTTCTTTACAACCATCCTATTGGCCAAAGTTCATTCTAGGAAGCACAATGCAGTACATGCATTTTTCATTTCTCCATGGTATGTAGGACTAATCTTAGACATACGTTAGATGTGATCACTGAAATCTATCCACAACAACTTCCTAGCAATCTTATCTCTTTTCACACACACAAAGACTGTCTTTCACAGGAATTAACAGTGAAAGCTGTCCTGCAGGGCATATTTATATCTCATTATACTGAAGAGAAACTGAAGTGTAATTTGAATTTCTTCTTTATTTTGGTTCTCGGCATTTTCACCATTTCTCATTAATTGGAGCCACAATGAAGTCTACAAATACACATACATTGAAGTAATGGTGAATTCATCTGGGTAACTGGGTACTGGGTAACCTAAAATGACTTATTTTATCCATCAGGAATAATAGTGTATGTAGTTCAATGATTTACCTTGCCATATTCTCAATCTGCAGAGTTTCAAGCAACCAGGGTCCCTACCTCTGTTTTAGAAGACATGATGTTTTCCATGCCATCATCATACCCAAGTCAGCCTCCTGTGCACTGATACATCCTTGGCACAGGTCATATCTCCACACTCGATTCACAGCAGTTGGTCTTCAGAAGCAGCAGACTTAGTCCTATGTCAGATTTCAAGTCACACATTGGATCCCAATGAAGGTCCAGCTCCCCAGCCCTTGCAAAAGGGGCAATACTGCTCTCTGGGGGCTGTGCCAGGACCAAGCCAAGTATCAGCTTCCATACATTAGGCAGGAGTTAAATTAGACGAGGTGGATGATGCCTGTGCCAGAACTGTGTCCACAATCAGTAGAGATACCCACATGTGAGAGGGCAGGCGGGTTCTGCACTGCACAGAGGGACTGAAGCCACATGAGCACTCGTTTACAGATGGGAGCTGTACATACACGCTGTGTCTGATTTCGAGCATATGGACAGCACCTGGATTCCAATCCTTCAGTAGAGAAGGGAAGAATGTGGCCCCAACAGCACACTGACAGTTTCCTACTCAGTGACCCTAAAGCAAATGCAGTCCATAACCCCTGTGACAAACCCTCTCTCTTTCACCCTGCACTGTAGTTTTCTCTAGGAAAAAGCTCTTCATCATCTATCTTGCATTCTTTTATTCTCTGTTGGGCAGAACAGAGCAATCATTTTGCTGCTCTTGAAGAGCACCTGCTAACCTGAAATTATTCCAGCTGGGAGTAAGCTTTCGCATCTGATTGTGAAAACAATCAAATGGTGTTTTATTATTATTATTTCAAACCCAAGAAGCAGTGCCTGCTTCTGAGCATGCAGACAATGTCAGCAACACAGCAGATTTTTTTTAAACTCTGACTCTGACTGGGAGATCCGTGCCAAGCCTGCAAGATGTGTAATGCTGTTACATCAGCTTTCCCTGTTTTGGAGAATCAGCACATTCTTCATGTTAGTCAACCTCACCAGCTAACAAATCATCTCAAGGAAAGGCCCCTGGAGCATGCTTTGCTGTAGAAGAGCTACACGATCTAATTTCTCTTTTATTTAGATTAAAACTATTCTCAGTAGGAAGAGCGAAACCCCGCCTACAGCTGGAACACTGCCTGGCATCACTGCCAGCCAGGGTTAACCTGAAAGCAATTTGTAAACACCATTCCTAATCAGGTCCAGCAAAATGGGTTAGTCAGTAAATGACAACTGTCCGCCTTCTATTCTTCACACACCAGGAGAGCATTTTTCTCCCCTGTAGCACCTCTCTTCTCCTTTTCACACATTCACAAACACCCTGAGCAGACCTTTCCCACCCTGGGATATCTCCTCAGTGTGCCAGAGCTTGTGTTTAAGGAAAGCAGTGACATCCCAGCTGGCAGCAAGGCTCACATTGCCATTAGGCAGGGCGACCTGCCAACACCACATCCAGACACACTTTGGGTTTCACTTGGAGACACAGCAGCAAAGAGCACTCCCTGCTGTGCTGCCTGCCCTTAGGCCAAAAGCCTCCTTGGTTTTGGGGACCAAGCACTATATACGTTGCCTGCCCTTGCTGCAGCATTGCCTTCCCATGTCACATTCACAGACAACGGATGACCCAGACTAAGCATCTCGACACATCCCAGAATACTAACAATTCCAGCCCAACTCTTCCTACAGTCTCTCTCTCAGCTGCAAGCAACTTTCGGACAAGAAAAGATGTTTATTTGTCTATCCTATGTATGGTAGACTGATTAAAGTGTTTCACATGACATCAGTCCTGATTGAGGAACTCGCCCCAGCAGCACATGAATTACTCAAAAAGTTCTACTTATTCTATTTTTTTGGAGAATTTGAGATGGATTTGGCAAACCAAGTTTTATACTCATATAAAACAGGATGTAAGGCAAAGTGTGGGGCCTCTCACACCTAACACTACGCCTTCAAAGCAAGAAGGAATCAGGTTTCCAGATATGCCCAATGTAGAGCTAGCAACAGGTCTGAGCACACGCATTTTCAGGGTTACCTAGAGCTGTGCATATGTTGACCAAGAGGACATGGTGGTCTTTTTCTACAGGGTTTGGGAACACTAACTCTGAAGAACCACAGTAACTGCTGAGCAAATTAAGCCCCAGAGAGCTCTGACTAAAGCACTGTGCAGCCAAGAGCAGGATGACCATACGGGGCAGCAAGGGCAAGAGAGCAACTACATCCCCTGCATTAATTCACTTGCCCATCACCTGTAGCAGCAGTGGAAAATCACTTATTTTAGTGCAGCACAGTGTAAATTTACATCTTGCAAACTGAATTCATGAGTTTTAAGAAGTCAAATAATGTGTCGCAGCAGTTCATTTTTTTCATGCACTGGATAAACCTGAATCATTCAACAGATACACTTCCAGCGTTGCCTCAGGAAACAGATCGTTAATGCCGTGTGAATGAGGCAAGCAGAAGTTGCACAACAATTTTTGAATATGGCACTTGCAGTCATACCACATAATATCCACGAGAGAAGGCAGCCTGCCTCTCCTAAGTAACTGCCTTGGACATCACATACATTGTCACGCAGTTTACTGCAACGTTCTGAAAGCAGTTTCTCACTGCTGGTATATCCACCCCTCTCAGTCTTGCCCATCTCCAAGAAAGTCCTTGCCATCATATACGAAACGATGAGCATAAAGGAGCATAGGACTTGCTGAAAGATGTAGG